ATATACAATCATATGAATAAAGCATTATGTATTAATATTTACATATATCTATATAGATATACATATATAATATTATGAATATGTAGAATATATATTTTATATATATATATATATATATATATATAATATATATATATAGAATAATCACATACCATCGTAAATTGTTCACGATTTGATTTCAGTTTTAATCATTTTATATTTTGAACTTACATATAAAAAAATGTTATGTCATTAGTAACGGTTAAATAATAAAGTCGAATTTATAATGGAAACTATATTTAATATAGTATATACATATCAGTTACTTGCTAGCATATTAACCTGCCGGTGTACAATGTCGTTTCTTTGAAGTGTAATTAATATTTTGTAAAGAAATGTTTTTATATTCATAAATTAAACGAAAATATTGTTTTTTTATTAAGATAATAAAATGTTTGTTTTATGGAAGTGTATTAATGAATGATAAATATAGAGAATTGATGAGAATTGATTATTCTTCAATACAATTTATAATAAAAGATACAAAAAGTAACGGTATTATAACTTTTTTATTCGTACATATATATTTATTTAATAAAATAAAAACTATTTTACATATATTATATTTATAGCATAATGCATAATAATTTAATTGCTGCCGCCATCGGTGTAACCGTTGGTGTAATAAGTGCAGCTAGTATTTTTATTTATCGTAAAATTTTGGCAAATCAACAGTATAGTACAACAATTTCTGATTTAGATGCTGCTAATAAAAAAATTGATGAGTTACAATCAGAATTAGAAGCATTAAGGTAACTATATAATTTCATATAAAATATTGATATAAGTATCTTTTTTAGTTTATATATAATTTTATAAAATTAATAATTATTCTGTTATATATTGTTATTTTATTTAAGATTACAATTAAGACAAAAAAAGAAAAAAAAAATTTCAAGAAAATTTAGTTCTAATGATAGTACATATACTGTAATAGATAATGATACAGATATTGATATTGGAGATGATGAATTCTATGATTGTTCTGATGGTGAAAGTGTTGTTAGCGATAATGATTTAAGGTTAGTATAATTATATAAATATATGTAATGTAAGTATATTAAATTTATATGAGTACACGTATGAGGATTTATAATTTATTCTAGTAAAAATGTGAATCTACTTCCTGAAGAAACATCTTAAGAATATTCAAATTATACTGTTTAATTCATGATTTAAGCATGATTATTTATATTAATTTGGAAAGTTAGAATTTTGGCAAATAAAGTTATTTTAAAAATGTAAAAGGAAGAGATTATATGTTCAGTAATATAGGATCTCAGAGGAACTGAACCAGCTGGATATAATACTTAAGGAGATTGATGAACAAGTAAACAATGAATTTGATGTCAAGACTTACTACACATTGAAAACATTGATAAATTCCCATCAAGACAATGTAGAAGTAATATGGAGATTTGCAAGAGCTAGTTATTATCATGCAGAAGCACAGACTGATAAAAATTTTAGAAGAATAATTATTCTTGAAGGTATTTATAAAATATTTTTTTATATTTTTATTATTTTATAATAAGAATAAATTATATTTGATAGGAATCCAAGAATGTGAGAGAATTATTGAAAATCGAAATCCTGATTTGTATAAATGGTATGCTATTCTCATAGGATTAAATGGAGATTATTTATCAATGGCAGATCAAATAAAAAATGGTGTTATTTTCAAAAATTATATAATAATGGCTTTAGAAATGTGTTCAGATGACTCTGAATTACATTATCTTCTAGGAAGATTTAAATATGAAATTGCTAATTTAAGTTGGATTGAGAAAAAGGTTTAAGTTTTACTTTAATATATTAATCAATTTTAATATAACAAAATATTATTTCATGCAAAATTATAATTTATAATTAAATGAGTGAATTTAAATTAATTTAAATAGTTTAAATTTTCTTTATATTTTTTTATAGGTAGCAACAACATTATTTGCTGAAATTCCAAGTGCCTCATATGAAGAAGCACTTGATTGTTTTAAAACTGCAATAAAACTTGAAGATAAAAATCCACATACTCAATTATATATTAGTAAATGTTATATTGCTTTAAACAAATATTCATATGCAATTGATTCATTAAAAAAAATTTTAGAAAAACCAATATTAACAGTTGATGATGAAAAAGTGCATACAGAAGCAAGTAAACTTTTAAACAAATATTCAAAATATAATTTATAGCAAAAAATAATATATTTGTACATTCAATTCATATTTAATAGTTATGCTATTTCCACATCTATATACAGATAAAAGCAACTATATTACGGCTTAATCTAAACGTTAACATCAAATAGTTTATAATCACTTATATGGAATAATAGGTACTAAAAATTTATGCAAAACATTTTATCTACAGGTATTGTAAGTTTATTATTTTAATTGAGATTTTATGAAAGAAGTGATTTATAAAGATCTTCAAAAGATTTGCCCATCAATGCAGATTTAGGAATATGCACTTTATTTACATTACAATTTATAGTACAATTTAACAAGTTATATTTAGAATATTTAGAACAATATATATATATAGAGAGAGAATGATATATGTATATATTTATAGGTTTCTGGATTTAGTTATTTTCTTACAAGAATTTATAGAACTTATTATTGATATATATTCACTGTATACAATTTCTATAAGTAAAACTTATACACAAATTAATACATTTTTGTATAATTAAATTGTAATTTAATTATAGACTTTTGAGTGATTCATCTCCCTAAATATTTTTATTTCAATAGAAATATTCTCTATTTGATGTATCTTTTGAAACTGTAATTAAAGTACACTTTTATTATTTATATCGCTTTTTATCTCTGCATTTTATGATAATTTTTATAATAGTGATTAATTTTTCTAGCTTAGTCAAAACATATTAAAAGATAAGATTAATTAATAATTATCATACTTTATTTTTTTATACATATTAAATTATATAATTAAATATATTTATATTAATAAAAAAAATTTTAATGTAAAATTAAAATTATTAAACAATAATAAAAAAATTAAAAATAGATAATTTTTTACAATATATGTATATAGTTTTTATTTTTATAATATTTATAGATTTTATTTTATTGTTATAGTATTTATAAAAAAATTGTAGGAGAAAATTTTTGTAGACAACTATGAACTTTCCCCTTATTTTAACAAATCAATAATGGTCCAACACAGCATCCCAGAACTCAGTAGATACTGGATGGAGAGAATGGGGTAAAAGGGGTGAAACAGAGGAAGCCTTTCTAGTA